AAGACAGTTCTGGAGATTGTCCAAAATACAGAGACTTGAATGAGAGAACCATGTGAAGGCGACCTTCATTTTGCTCTTACTGGATTTTTTTTGCTTTTCCTGTAACTACTGAGTAGAAGTTAGTGACACCATTCTATCCTTATTAACTTGAAAAAAGCAACTACTGCTTTATAACTTTATTTTCATTTTACTGATAAATAATGGTGAATCACTTTTATGGTGCAGAACCATTACAAGTATAAAACCTGTAGCTTTTTAGCTTATGGCTGCCACAAATGCAGTAAGTGCAATGTTAATTCTAACTGGACAGAGCTGCAAATTTTGGGAATCTAGACTGTGTGCGGAAATGGTTTGCTCATACAAGTGCAATGAATCCAATTATTATGATAGAAAAGACTGAGTAAACTCAATTCTCTTCTTTCCTGTGCAGAAGAGTTAAGCATAGAAACTATTGAGCTAATCTTTTCTTTTGTATGTGCCTTTTTTTGTGTTAGTACTGTTAAACCTTATTATGCATCTTCTGTGATATTTTAAGTCTGTTTCTTAGCCAGTACACTTACTGAGCTAATTTATCTGTAGTGTGAACATTACATGTCTGGAAAACCATATAGCTTTTGCTTATATTGACTTACTTTTTTCCAAGTTCTTTTATGCTAATTCTTCTCCTTAGCGGTGTTTAATATTACTGTGTCTGAGGTAGTATATGACCTGTCTTTCCATTTACTTCAGTGAGGATTTTTATTCTTTGCAGAATTTTGTAGAAAATGTTGACTCTTGGAACTTTTCAGGGTTGGATTTTATATATATATATACATATACATACATATATATATATATATATATACACACACACAATTTACATATTTTTTTTTAAATTGAGAATAATTTATAAGCTGCTTCTCTCTTTGTTTCTTCCTAAAGTTTTAAGTCTTCCAAAACATATTGTACTCTTCTACAATCTTGTTCAGTCAGTCACAAGGAAATCTTCATTGATAGGAGTACTCGGATTAATAGGTGTTGCTAGTTCAGCTCCTTATCTCTCACACTGACAAAGTACTTGTTGGGTTTTATCACTTCTAAAACACACAGTTTCTTCAGCCTATAAATCAAAGTGTTTTTGACGGTTATGACACAGGTTAATTAAAAGTGCTGATTGGATGCCCAAGGGATCTCCCCAGAGGGAAGTGTCCATCCAGCTAGTTTGCTAAAAGTCACACTTAATAATGTGACTGCTTCAGAGTTTAATTAGAGACAAGATAAAAACCAAACCAAAATAGTGGCACTAGTCTCAAAAAGTTCAGACAATGTTTCAAGCAGTAACACCACTTTAAAAAAGATCATGAAGTAATAAACATATCTTACTCTCTTTAATGAAAAATTCCCACTGTGCATCCAAATCACAGGATGGCTGAGGTTGGACAGAACCTTTAGAGATCATCTAGTCCAACCCCCTGCTCAAGCAGGGTCGACTAGAGCAGGCTGCCCAGAACTGCGTCTAGATGGCTTTTGAATATCTCCAAGGATGGAGGCTCCACAACCTCTCTAGGCAATTTGTCCCAGTGTTCTGTCACTCTCACAGGAAAGAAGTCTTTCCTCACGTTCAGATGGAACTTCCTGTGTTTCAGTGTGTGCCCGTTGCCTCTTGCCCTTTCACTGGGCACCACGGAGAAGAGTCTGGCCCCATTTTCTTTACCCCCTCCCTTCAGCTCTCTCAGCCATTCCTCATATGGGAGATACTCTAGGCCTTTCATCATCTTAGTAGCCCTTTGCTGGATGTGCTTCAGGAGCTCCATCACTCTCTTGTACTGGGGAGCCCAGAATTGGACACAGTACTCCAGGGGAGGCCTCCCCAGGGCTGAGGAGAGGGGAGGATCACCTCCCTCCACCTGCTGGCAACACTCTGCCTAACGCACCCCAGGAGACCATTGGCCTTCTTGGCCACAAGCTTCAGGAGGTTCCTCTTTGCCCAGCTCTCCAGCCTGTCCGGGTCCCTCTGAAGGGCAGCACAGCCTTCTGGTGTGTCAGCCACTCCCCCCGGTTTAGTATCATCAGCAAACTTGCTGAGGGTGCACTCTCCCTTCCTCCAGGTCATGGATGAATACATTGAACAAGACTGGACCCAGCACTGACCCCTGGGGGACACCGCTAGCCACAGGCCTCCAACTAGACTCTGCGCCATTCACCACAACCCTCAGAGCTCGGCCATCCAGCCAGTTCTCAATGCACCTCCCTGTCCACTCATCCAACCCACACTTCCTGAGCTTACCTAGGAGGATGGGATGGGAGACAGTGTCCAAAGCCTTGCTCAAGTCCAGGGAGACAACATCCACTGCTCTCCCCTCATCTCCCCAGCCTGTCCTTCCATCAGAGAAGGCTCTCAGGTTGGTCAAGGATGATTTCCCTTTGGTGAATCCGTGCTGATTACTCCTGATCACCTTCTTTTTCAATTGTTTTAAAAAATATACGTTAAGGAACAGCAAGAACTTCGGTATCTCTTTCTTTCTTTTCTTTTTTTGTTTTTTATTTTTTTTTAAATAGTGAACGTTTTGTTGTTCATCTTGTAAGGTTCTGTTTCTGTGGAAGTTAATGTAAATCTTTCCGTTGACTTTTTGGGTGTTGGACTGGGGATCTTCAAAAGAAACAAAAGTAACTTTGGGAATTTCCACAGGGCTGGGGAGGCCTAGCAGTTAAAAGTGACACCATCTCCAAAATTCTCTCATTTTTCAAAGCCTACAGGATTTAATCCTATTAAGTAGCGAGTGGATGTTTTCTTCTCCTTTTGATGTCAGGGACCTATATCATAACCGTATTGTTATGTCTCTTTTATGTCAGCTATTTTACTTTCAGCGTTGATTGGTTTTTAGTCTTTTCTGGGTTTAGAGAAAAAACCCGAACTTGTTTGCCTCTTTAGAATAATTCCTAGGGAGCTTACCTATTGTTATAAGAACTCATATACCTACTTTTAATATTAAAACTGTGATATAAGACTATTTATTACTTGCTGTAGCTTCTTAATTTTCGTGGGAATTCTAGCATATCAACCATAAGATCCTTAAAACCAAAGAGTGAACTGTGAAAAGATAAATACAGAAGTATAGGTAAGACTTCAAGAGGTAGAAGTCCATTTGACTGGCAGGAGGAAAACTGGGAAATGGATGATTATGCAGGAGTTGGGAGGTATGAAAGGGTCACCAAAGCCAGAAAAGACAGTTAAAGAGTGGGTTCACATTATTCTTCCTGTTCTCCTTGGTTGTAGCTTGCTTGTACCTGCTACTGGCTCTCGACTGTTATTTCATGCTAAAAAAAATGTTCATTAGATAGTGCTTTTCATTTTAGTGATATCAGAAGTAAAAGGAAACATACCTAATGAAAATTTAATTCAAGCTTCTTGGTTTGAGTTCTTTTTAATATTGTTTTGTAAAAGAAAAAAATTGTAAAAAAAAAAAAAAAAAACCTAGCAGCTTCTGATGGCAAATATTCCTGTAATACATTGTTATAAATTATTTTGGCAATGGGAGCATAATACGCTGGTACAGTAGGTATCTAATACATAATTATTCAGGTGAATACTATACTATATTTCTATGGATTTAGTGCTGTTGGTGTTTTACAGGCATGTGTCAAAGGATGAGATGTCTCAGGTCCTTAGTGAAGAGGAGATGAACAAACTTGGAGCCAGGATTGTGAAAGCAGAACTCATGGGAAACATGGTAATGTTTTTGAAGGGTTGTCATGATTTACTGCAATTTTTCTTTCAGGCTCAGTGTTTTAGCCTAAAAAAAGAGATTGAGTCAAGTGAATATTAAGTTCTGTGAAATATGCTCAGAAAAAATTTGAAGATACTGTTTTTCCTCTAACTTCTGCTTTAAATGCCATGGTCCGTAAACTGGAATAGATAATTCAGGTCCTCAGAATTGTAGGCTTGGAAGCATATCCCAAACTGGTTGCTCTCTGCCTTTTTGGTAGGATTTAATGTGTTTCTGTTAGACAGGAAGGAGGAGAAGACAACAAAAGTTCCCAGTGTGTTGCAAGGTAGGCAGTGTCTTGGAGTTCTTGTTATTTTGTCAACTTTATCTCAAGAAGACGCTTGTGGTCCATACTTTGGCTGTATGGACACAGAGCATTGGGTTAGGGTATGGAAATACAAGGTTAAAAGGATGTCCATGGGTCTTTGCATCCAGCTCTGCAATGAGAACAACTATATAGTTCTTTGCATAAAGCTCCCCAGAATGTCGTCTTGTTCTGGAAAAAAATTTATCCATGAATTCATGGTTAACAGCTGCAGATGTAACACTGCTGTAGGGGTTTTTTTTTTTTTTCAGACGGCAACCTGAAAGAGCAAGAACCTCACAGTTTTGGAAAATTCTGAATTCTGAGAGCATATATATATATTTTTTGTTATGTTCAGTATGGTTATACTGGATTATTTATTTTTAGCTTTTTGGTAGGGGGAGTGAAAAAGCAAAACCAAACCTTTCTTCCCCTCTCTCCTCCCCCAATCTTCTTGTATACCTAATTCTCCTTCATACTTATTTGCAAGTTTATTCTTTTGAATAATTTTATCTTGTTCATAATTTATGTTATAATACTGCCTGGAGACTTCTATTATAACAAAAGTCTTAGTCTATTAGTATTTAAGCTGTGTTTTGCAAATGATTGCTTTGAATAGCTGCTCCCAGGGAAATATTGCTAAACCTTTTTTGAAGGATATTGTGAAATAACCCTTCTTAGAAGTAAATCCTTCCTTTTTTTGTTAAACAGTAATTTTTAGTGCACCTTTGTTTACCTCTGCCTCTTGGGACAGAATCTGAGCACCAAAATCTGTGTAATTAAATAACAAGTAGATGTTATGACTTCAAGTACCAAATTTCTTTTTCATGAGAGCCATTGATTTTTTTGAATGGCAGGAGTTTTTAGTGTGGTTGGCACATGATTTTACTGGCTGGATTAGTGCACAATGTTGATGTTTTCAAAGCTCTTACCACATAATTAAAACTTTGATATGAGATAGTATCCATTTTGTAAATATTTTCTTTTCAAACTGATTTTATATTATGGATACGAAATTTGAACAAACATACCTTTTACAGAAAAACTGTTTGAAATCTTATCAACTTCAGTAGTGAACTAAAAGTAACTTAATCTGTAGCTTTTGTAGTTAGTACATGTGTGGGGGAAATACCCTGGTGAGAAAAATGTGTTTATGAATGAGATTGTGTGTTAGGATTGTGAAGGACTATAGTGTCAGTCATATAAGATTATTTTATAGCCTTATATTTCTAAGGGGAAAATGATGGAAAGCATCTGTACACTAATTATTATAAAATGTTGAAAAAAAGGAAAAAAAGGCATCCCAAAGGCGTTGTCATGGAGAGCAGTGAAAATTCGAAAGTGTTTTTCCTCTACTGCTCACCTTTAGTAGCATTGTCCTCATGAAAGTAGTTTGGGCACAAGTGTCTTTAAGCCTGACAGTAACAGAATAAGAATAGTTTGAATAAACATACGTGGAGGGTATGTGGGGAGGGAATTATTCTTTTTTTCTACGGTTTTGTTTTGTTCTGACAAAAATCAGGTAGCAGAAGCCAACATTACAGTTTTACTGCTAAGTTTATGCTTTTCTGCACACGGACTCTGAAATTGCGTATTTTTAAAATACAAATATAAATCACAAATGACAAACCCGCACCTTGTTCCTCTCTAAATACATTTTCAATCTCATCAGAGAAAAACCATGAAAAATTAACTTTTTTAAACAAGATCGTCGCTGTATATTAGAGCAGATGATTATGTAACTGCATGGGCTGGAGCTCAAGGTTGCTCATATGGGACAAATGAATTCTGAATTGCTAGTTTTTCCTGACGTGCTGTATGATATTAATCAAATGACTTAATTTTTTGGGGGCAAGTATAGCCATGACTGGAGTCCAGTGAAACTTGCAAAGTGGTCAGAGCATGAATGGTTGTAGACTTTCTGATATGTTAATAGGCTGTCACCTGACTTCAAATTCTTAGCAAACCATGAATTTGGCTCATCAAAAGCGAGATGCTTAGTTTGCCTAATGAAGAGATGGACAAGAGAGCAGGAGTGTCAGAAACAGTTTAAGCAAGACTGTAAATAGTTCTTATTTTTGATTTCTTTTCTTTCAGTCTCTTAATATCCGAAGCAAGCGCTTAAGTGCCAAAGACAGACAGGTAGTGTAGAGCCATGTAAAACTGGATCTGAGACTCCTTTCTCTTGACTCATTAGAGTAACAAGTAGACCAAGGGGGTGTGTGTGTGTGTATATGTGTGTGTGTGTATACACACACACATATATGTCACATGTACATACACACACAGCATAACCTGGAAAAAGTTATATGCTGATGCATTCAGGCTTCCTTATTTAACTTCCTATATGTAGAACAGCACCTGTGTTTAGTTACATAAAGCATTTATTAGCATAACTGAATAATGTTTAGACATCATTTTTGTTGTGTTTTTATGGTGATATCCTTTAGATGCCTCTGTTTTGAAAAAATGTGTCAATTTTATCTCCAGTAAGGAATTATGTGAATGGTATCGACACTTTTTCTTTAGTCTTTTGTGTCATAAGGGTTAAAAAAGTATATAAAGCATGGAGAATTGAAATAAATCATTTACTTTGTGATACAAAGGTCTCTTAAAGTTTCAGCAGTTAAGCTAATTCATTACCACCACTTTCTTTGAAGGAGTTGGCTTCAGAACTTCAAGCAGAGCTTGAGAATGCACGCAAGTTAAGGGAGAATCAAAACCAGGTTCCAGCAAAGCCTGGCAGAGAGGTAAGGGAAAAATATTCTTCTATTCTTTGTGCTAGCAAAATGGTGTAATAGAGATAGCAATTAAATTGTAGAGTATGTAAAATATATTAAAGAAAATTGCAAGGTGTGACTTAAGATGAGCTATTGTTCAACTAAAATTGTACTTTTTGATGAAAACATTTTCTCCGTTGTAACCAAGTTTTTCTTGTAGTGTTTTCTCAGGAATTATGCTTATACCTTCCATTAAAAATAAAAGTGAAATGTGTGATGTAGTGATGGATTGCCCAGGAAGCCTAGACCTTGGTATCTGGAACTTAGATTCTCTTGCCTTTCAAGCGCTGCAGTAACCAACATAGGCACCGAAGCAGATGGTCTGCATCTTGCTTAGCTTGCCAGGATTTGGTGCTGGCTGTTGTATAACTGGGATGTCCCTAAAGAACCTGTCACCTCACATACCCTTTTTAAAGGGTGGCATTCAAGGAATGCATAGTAATTTTCTTCCATACTAGCTTTGATATACCTACAAAGGGAACAGGGTCAATACCTTCCTTAATGGACTAGTCTTCATGATGGGGAGGAGACTTAGGCAAAAGTGTATTTTTTTTTTGTCCAGTTTGTCACTGACCCCAGTTCCAGACTTCAAATTCAGCTGCAGGTTATTATCACAGTTTGAAGAGCCACTGATATTTTTTGAAAAATACTGATGTCAAACATCTTACATTGACTAGTGTTTCTCCTGTCATCAGAAGACAGACTAATATAGAACTTAGTGTATGATCTGTTGCTGAGTACATCATGACAGTCATGTGAAAGTATAAGTCTCAGCCCTTGAATTCACAAGGGGAATGCAGGATGCAGAGTGGAAATGCCCTTTCAGTTCCCAGATTCAACCCCGGTAACTATGCACACGAACAAAACAGAACAAAAGCTCTGGGTAGGTAGACTATGTCTCGTGTAGTCTGATTGTTAGGCCTGTTTTTTGTGTATAAACAAAAAAGCTGAATAAAGCCAACTGTAGTTATGTAATTACAAAGAACAAATACTTTCGAGTTTTAAGACGAGAAAGTAGAAGGCTTGCCGTATTAATTGCTGGTCTTAAAAAATATATGAGAAGACCTATTCCTTAGGAATTGAATAATGAATAAAAGTTTTGGGCAGCCTAAGTCTTAACTGTAGTCTGCTTTTTAAACTAATTTTTAACAAAAGGACTTTTAAAAAATGCCAACACATGGTCATTACAAAAGTACAAAATGTAAATGCCACTGAAATTTCACAATGGATAAATCATTAATTAAAAAAAAAAAAAAAGTGAAAACCTACTTAGCGTGAGGCCTGTCTTTCTAGCCTTCTTGATCCTGAGGACACTTGATCCCGTAGCTTTTGCTTTTACTGAGTGATAGGCTTCTCTGCAAAGAGTATTATGCTCCCAGCATGTAGAAACACTAAGCTCAGGAATGAAAGAGTTTGGGGTTCCAGAAGGGTAAATGGGTGAAGAAGAACATGAGTCTGTATCCTTCTGGTTACAGCCTGACATAGGTCCTGATCTCTCTGTCGACTGTCATTTACTGAATGCATGAACAGGTCCAGAGGAGTGCTACTGAAGAAGGAAGGCACATTACAGATTTGGCTAGACTAGAATACCAGCTTGCTACCCTAAAGCCTCAAAGAGGTTGACTCACTCATTTCTGTTTATGAATATGCCATATAATATGTATTTTTTTTTATTTGTGTGATTGTATGTCTTCATTTTTGAGCGGTTGTGTGCATAATTACCTGGGTTGAATCTGGGAACTGAAAGGGCGTTTCCACTCTGCGTCCTGCATTCCCCTTAAACCTGATTTGGGGGAAAAGAAAGTTGTGAATGTTCCCTAGCTC